TGACTGTCCCTCTGGTATCTTTCGTCCCTCTTTCACATCACACTGATTATTTCAAGGTACTTTACCTTAAAGAGACCAAAAAATAGCTTATTCCGTTACACAAGGTCAGCCCCGGTTGACTCTTTTCAAGGTTTTATATCGTCGGGTTTAGTCCGACAGACCTCATTGCTAATGAATGGACAAGTATAAATTCATATAAAAGGTCGTGAAATTGACCTTTGACTTTTACATCAATGTCAAAACTAAAGATCACGGATTCAAATAAAAGGATCCAAGGTGTATGATATGAATGGTTTCGAAGTTATCAGATCTATTAGCTTGTTTTGGATCTTAAAGGGCAGAACATTCCTTTTTAGACCCAAATGCAATTTGATAATGTTGATGACTTTAAGGTTTCTGAGGAATTGGGTTAACAAGCAAATTTCTAAATTAAAAGCATAGTCTTGACATTTGACCTTGATCTCAATTTCATGTCTATGGACAAAGGACCGTATATCAAAAGCATTTAGGTATCTATGACTTACAGTTTTTATGTTACCACGTATGTCAACCATAAACGTGAAATAACTCTTTTACATGTTACCGAACTGCTTCGGTTCAAATTTAACAGATTTTCCTGAGGACGTAACTAAATTCAGGAGAAAAAAATTCAAACAATTTACTGTTTCAAATTTTTGTTCTTTTTAAGGTGGAGCTCTAACAAGAAAAACACACAGTATACGCCTAGTTGACTGCCATTTTGAAAAGTGTTCAGTTATTTAGATGAGTTTAAAGACCGCAATTACTGCTCGTTTCATATACCAAATATCGTATTGGCATGCTGCATAACAAAAGCTACAGTCTTTAATTTTCTATGTTGTGTTTTGTGTACTGTTATTTGTTTGTTGGTATTTTTTAGCCATGGCGTTGTCAGTTTATTTTTGACTTGTGAATTTCAATGTCCCTTTGGTATCTATCGCCTTTCCTTTACAAACAAAACTGGCGAAATAAAATATAATCAAAACAGAATCAAAAAGTGTAAACACGTGCAGTCATTGCTAGTGTATTGTATACGGAAATACTATATGATATTGGAGTGCCTCCCAATTTTGGTCAACCTAAGAAAACTACGGATTTAAAATAATCATCTATGCAATGCAACTATATTGGAATGCAGCAATCAAGTAAATTATGATTATATCTTTTCATAATGAATTAAAAAAAAATCCAAAGTTCATTGATGTAATATGAACATTTACTTTTATATCCATGTCAAACACTTCACATATGTCCATAATGATAATCATATTGCGGTACTGAATCGACATACAACACACCTTGTCTGATCAACCATCTGATGATGTTCTACAAACAGTCCCCAAGCTTTCGGTTTTATATCCTGATCCAATAGTAAGACAGTGTACAATGACTGGATTGGTAAATTTGTGAAAACATTCAGGGATATTTCATGTTCACCAGACAATAAAATGTTAGTGCTATATATATATATATATATATATATATATATATATATATATATATGCATAAAACCATGTGTTGTACTATACGGATATGCTGAGTATGCTTGTTAACGTGATAGGTTACAGGGAAACAAGTCAGCATACATGTATAGCATCTTATTTGAACCAAATATTTTGACTCCGACCCGATCAATTTTTGTGCCCACCATCTGTTAAGTCGTGTGCTAAGCCGCATTTCAGCGAACAATTTTTTCCAGTCTTTGAATTGACCCGATCGGGTTGTAGAACTAACAACGTTTCCCATTCTAAAAAGGCACTGTACCACGGGACCAGTGCGGCTGTGATAGTATTTGACATTATACAACAGGCTTAGATGTTGTTAGTAGATCATCCGTTCTTTACGTTTGAATACTAGTTTTCACGATCTTAGGCAGGCACACAACCACGAGATCATCGTGGAGGTGATATTTCTATGACAAGATATGTTAGGTTAAAAAGTTGTTGGACTTGTTTTAATGCATTTCTGTCTTGTTAATTTCGATGATAAACTGTTTTGTAAAACATCTATAGGATTGTTTCAAAGAAAAGGCTTGTAATTTTAAGCATAAGACTCTCATTGGGGTTCGCATCAAAGCAGTTAGGAAGTTTGATTTATTACGGCAGAAGAGAGTATTGAAAACAAAGACTTCTAAAGAATTTATGAATTATGGCCAAAATAATAAATGGCTTAGGCAGACAAATTTTACTTTCAGATGATTTTTATTTTTTAGCCAAAGGCCCGTGAAATATAATTTCTCAGCCCATCAACTAGATTAAGAAAATTGCCTAGCGATGCATTAGAAGAAATATACCAAATTTGCTTGGTCATGCATTGAGAAGCGCATTATAAATCCACGAGTTCACATTTTCTATCCCTTTGAATACTAGTAACCTAGGTGTTGCATTCTTAATTTTTTTCACCACGATACCGATTTGCTTTTACAGCAGACAACGCTTCCAACATAAATGTGTATATGCAACATAACTATTTAGTATTAATTTAACGTTTGTTTTAATCAATCGATGAGGGCTGTAATAATACGCAATATACGTGTTTTGTTTCTAATAAAATCATCAGCGGCGCTCGATTCACAAGATGAGACTATAAAGTTAAGGAGTACAAATGGCAATTGTTTTTCTCTGGAAACAAAGCTCTCAAACAAGGTTTAAGAAATAAATACTGTCTTCAAATTTCGTCAAGTCCTTCTAAAAAAAAAATAACCATAAACAATACGAAGAGTCAAATGATATGGTTATGAACAATTAGCGATCACTGCACATGCTTCATCAATGACGAAACGCATACAGTATAGTCAGCTATGAAGAGTCCTGACAAGACAAAATATAAGACAATTCAAACGAGAGACGGCCGGTTTATATATCAACATATCAACTGATAATCTCATGCTTCCAAAGCAATTTTATTGTTTTAGCTTTTTGCAGTAATTGAAACCTAGAGATGTATAAGTACCAATAAATTGTAGTAGTGGTATGTCTGAGGAAGATAGCCGGATATATTACCAGGAACTGGTTTAGACAATAAAGTTTATCTACAAGTACTAAGAAAAAAGTACCAGATGAACAGATGATTACTAATTATATCTTTGAGAATGTTTTGTTTTGTAATCAAGCTGTAAGTCTCATAGTTTGTCATTGACTTCCTCATTTCTTATATACCATTCTTCTTCTTTCCGAGAAAGAAATGTAGCGGAGGAAAAGTACTGTTAATGTTAAAAAAATAGAATAGACAGTTATATGTTGTCAAATATATAGCAATACTTATTCATGACGAGAACAGTTCATTGGTTTATGTTTGAAGAGCAGGATCTGCTCACCCCTCCGAAGCACACCAGAACACCACGAAATATTAGTGGGGTTCGTGTTGCTCAGTCTTTGGCTTTCTATGTTATGTTTTGTGTACTGTTTCCCTGTTTGTCTTTTTCTTTGTTAGCAATGGCATTGTTAGTTTATTTTCGATTTATTAGTTTGAATGTCCCTTTGGTATATTTCGCCTCTCTTTGACTTACAGACATTAAAATACAAAAATCCTTAAGATTTGACTTAAACCGCAAACATGTTTTGATATGTTTTGTGAATGAAGCGCTACAGAAAGAATATAAACGTGTGGTTAAATTAACATTCAATACACGAATCTGTCATTTTTTTAACATTTTCACAAGAACACGCTCACATGTGAAGAAAAAACGTCTGGTTTTAAACAATCATATTGTACAAAGATCAAAGAATATAAAAGACAATTGATCAGGAAAGCTTAGTTAAAAATACTTGGAAAATATGAATTTGAATTTATATTTGTCATATTAGTCATACTAGGACCGAATGGATTATACCATTCTTTATACTTGTGTCACTAAAGATTGATAATGAATAATGAACATAGTGGGAGGGAAAAGAAGATAATTGATTTGTGTTAATATTTCCAGTACATTGAGACCTGAAACAAAGAATATTCAATTTCCCTAAAAAAGACAAGAGGACCGATAACATGTCTCGATAGCAGTATAGTATTATATTTGATAATCGAAATTAGACAACATGTATATCGAGTGATATTTCTGACATTATAAAACTAGACATATTTCCGTGTCAAACATACATTAAAATGCACAAATTGTATTATGGTCAAGTCGTATCAACATTTTTAGATGTTATTTGTAAATGTGATTTTGGTTTTAACACGCAATTTGTTATTGAAACAAACCAAACTTTTTTTTCCCGCTTTGTATGAGAAAATCTATGTTTGAATTTTGTTGTATTCTTATGAATTAAATTGTATTTTCTGATGGAAGTGCACTAAAAGATGGTCTATATACACTTTAGTACAATTGTGATTTCGAAAATATAACAGTGTGTTTCATTGAAACATTTTGGGCCGCAAAACAAATTATTTTTTAAGTCACACTAATCATAAATGTATTCACATATCATTTTAATTCCCTGTTGCTCAAAGAATGTAATGTAGAATATACCAACATTGTGCGAAGGAGATATAACAGTATTTTAGAATATGCTTTTATTTTAAAGTGTTGTTAAGTAAAAGTAATAACACACTTATATATAAATTCAGGCAACCGATGTATATTCAGCTAGTTACATGTAACAAGTTAACGGTATATGAATGTATCTAGGTCGGCCAAAAATGCATGTTAGAAAGTCAACAATTTTGGCTTTGCAGCAGTGACTGACATTAATATCAATGCTATTAGCTTATACAAAACGATAAGCATTGATTGTATACATGTAACTTATGACATTTACTTTTATTTATCTCACAATTTCTAATATTGCGTCAGTAAACACCATGACAGACATTATTGTTTGGTATCAAATTTCCCCTTTGTCATATAAATTCTTAAATCATCACTTGTAATACCATACAAAAAAAATCGTGGTTTACAGTTATTCATCAACTATCAATGCAATATTTGTGCATATGGTCTTTTTTGTATAACCTGACAATATAAATAGACGTGGACACAGCCGTATCATCACTACTTGTAAAATCAATCTAACGTAATCAACCATGGGAGTTTTTACTGTACTGTTGGTAGCCATTGTTGGAACTGTCTACGGATACGGAAAATTTGACCATAGTATAGGATACGGCGTTGCTGCAGGATATGGTGGTGGTAGAGGTTACGGTGGTGGTTCATGGTATGGCGGTGCTGGAGGTATTAGCGGAGGCGGTATTATTGGTGGAGGTGCAGGCATTGGCGGTCGTGTAAGTTTTGATGGAGGTGCAGGTATTGGCGGAGGTGCAGGTATTGGCGGGGGTGCAGGTATTGATGGAGGTGCAGCTATTGGCAGAGGTGCAAGCTACGGTGGCTGGACAGGAGGAGGTATGTACATATGATAGTTCACATTTTCCAAGTTTCGAAAAGATGCTTTAGTAGTTACTATAGCGATTCATCGACAGAAAATTAAAATGTGAATATTTTGATTTATATAGCTGTCTCTATTTAATCTTAAATTCGAGGTTATGTACTGCGGGTTTTTTTTTTTGCAGTACGCTTTTTTTCTTCTTTAAATTACATTACAATAGTTTAACTGCACGAAACAAAGTCTTCTTTTGCATTTAATAGTAATTTTTCAATGTAATAATTTGATGATGGTATTTGTATAACATCATGTACCTTTGGTCATGAAAGCATTTATAACTTTGGTCATGAAATCATTTATTACCAGCATATATTTCTAGCTTGCTTCGAATAAGTGAAGAATTATTGTTGACTGTAGATGCCTGTAAGTGTGCATATTTTAGGGTGGTTCCTCTTAAAAGTAAACATTGTGCGTTGTTTTTGTTTATTTCTTCTTCTTATGAAAATACTATGCCAAATATTCATAACAACTCATTCTTGGTATGCGATATCCTCGGGATATCTATAAGAAATGATGAATGCAATGCTGTTTGTTAAAAATCTATTGTGATTTTTTACCTCACATGAGTAGTCTATAATATATCAAGTTTGTGCATGTTTTTGTTAAACCTAGTAACAATAATAATTACCATTATGTTGAAAGGTAATGTTTGACGAAGTTAATTCTGATATTTTAAACTTAAGAAACGATTGTTTTTTTGTTTTTGTTTTAGTATACATTTTGCCAGATAAAAAAAATCTGTATTTGCAATTTAACTAATGTATACTTGCTACTCATTTAAACATCATTTAAAGTTAGTTTCCTATACAAACAAAGTTCTTTGAAAATCCCAAGGAAGTTGTACCAGACAGATTAACAAGTGTATGCACAGAACTTTAATATCGTCATGTTTTCGTTTACTGGGAAATGATTTCAAATATATATTTTCATAACAGTATGATAATATTTAAAAGGCCTAGACTCCAACTAATACAAAATTACTTTTACATGTCCTTTTATGTAACCTTTTTACTTTCTGATTGCATTTTTTTACGTTTCGTTACGACTTTCAAAAGCTACGTTTTGTTAGTTATTTTTTTTAGATCGATTGCAATTCTTAACATAACTAAGGTATCACCAAATCATTATCCATCACATAGTTGTTGACAAGAGGTATCATTGATATGGCTATAATCATTAATTTACTGTTTACAAAACTATGTATTTTAGAAATACTAAGAATTTTCTACATCATGTATGGATTACCTTAGCTGTATTTGGCAAAATTGTCATGGGAATTTGTGGGTCTTCAATGCGCCTCAACTTTGTACTTTATTTATTCATTTGTAACTCTGTTGATTCGAGCGTCACTGGTGACTCTTTTGTAGACGAAACGCGCCTCTTGCTAACGATATTTTGATCCGGGTATCTATTATGAGTTTATTAATAAACATCCATTGGATATTTTTAACTAGTGTGTTAATGGACTTTATAAATAAGAAATTTCGTAATTGTTGACTCAACTCAACGTTATTTCTTGCATTTAAGATTGGTTCTCGTCTGGTCTTTACAGCTGATGTTTGCATTTTGCATTGTATAACATGTTGTTTTGCCTTTTTCTTTTTTGGAAACGAATTTTGATATGCTTTGGAAGTATCTGATTGCGTATTAAATTAAGCCAAAGAAAACCAAAAAAAAAAACAAAAACTGGAATAATCGGTACTTCGTAATTGTGAATAGATTATACAGATGATTCAATATATACTAACAATCGTATCAGGTTTGTACACAATTATGATAACTTAACATATAGGGTTTGATAATTATATCAAATATATATTTAATTTATAATGCTTAATCACAGCTGAAAACTCTTGGTGTACCTGTCGTCCTGGTTTGTGTCGTAAATGGGAGACAACTTTGGACAAAAAAATGCAGACTAACACCACTGTTCCCAGGACAATGGAACACATGTTGTCAGGGATTCCCATGGTGGGTTACTAGCCGTAATTATGGTGGATACGGCGGTGGGTATATTGGCGGAGTCGGTGTTGCATACGGCGGTGGATACGGTGGTGGATATGGTGGTAGCTATAGTGGTGGAATAGCCGGTGGATTAGTCGGCGGATACGGAGTTAGTACTGGATACGGTGGAGGATACGGCGGTGGATTCGGTGGTCGATATGGTGGAAAATACGGTGGAGGAAAAAAAGGCTATTAAACTTGATAGTATGTATTTCTTCCACAAGGAGTTTTGATTGTTCATCAAAAGACAGTTACCTATCGACACATACAAAAACAATATCAGCAGCAAACACGTGATTACCCAGGTTTATAAATGAGCACTATCTGTTACTTTACTTGAACAGATCCAACTAGATTGTATTCTGCGTCTGAACACATCATTAACCGCATGTCTGAATCTAAATGCTAGTAAAAGCATGTTTCAAACGCTTGTAAAAACTAAAGCTTACAGTAACAGGTTAAATAGCGAGGTACTTTGTGTGGCAATACTTACATCGGTTAGAAGTATATATCTAAGCGCAACAGTTGCAAGGTTTCACAAATAATTTTATTCTAATTGTTTTACTAGCAACAAAACACGTCTCACTCTTACCACTCAGGTGAAACATATTAATAAATCATATAATGGTCCAACCATAAATGTCCCAGTTCAAACGATGCATGTTTTAAAGCCCTAAACTGTTTCATATTGTGGCCTCTGGCATAGCTTGTCGTAAACACTGGTGTTTGTATCTTGCGTTGATATGACACAAACACCAGTGTTGAAAGAGACGAAACAAACAAGGGAAACACGTCTGGAGCAGTAGGTCAAAAGTAAGAATTCACTTTGTATAACTATGCACCTAAAGTTATACTGATGACGTGTTTATCTTGACATGATAGCGTAGACAAACATAATTTACTGCGTTTTGTTATCAATAAAATCTTTTATTATATTTTGTAGGATACCAGCATTGGAATCAGTACGATGACAGTATATGTAGAATGACAAATTATGTTTTTCAATAAATTGTGTTATAGACATTCACATTTGTACTTGACTCATGTATGCATTCGTTATCATAATAATCGAAGTATGATTGCCAATAAAACAATAATACACCTGGAAGCAAATGATGATGACGTCAACAACAGACACTAAACTGAACGTTTTTTAATAATAAAACAAATTATTTACCACATAGAACGCTTTAAAATGCCGCGGCATGACAACATGTGAAATATAACGGTCTGATTTATGTTATTAAAAACAAACATGTGAGACGAAAACTTACGACAGTCACTGAAGACAAGTCCTTGCCTTTGTATATACGACATGCTGCAATGTTAAGCATGTTTAGGAGCTTGTTACCCCTTATTTGCCGGGCAAATTAGTGTAGAATGACAACAACATAACAAAATGACGGATTTTTTTGCGTGAAAGCTTCGCTCATTGAATTAAAACTTAACAAATACAGCTAAGGAGGTACCAAACACTTTGACTAAAATAGAATAATTTTCATAAAATTTGACAAAATATCCACCTTGACGAAAAGATTTCAAGAAATTTAACCACACCATTTACAAGAATAATTTCATTGGCTATGTAGCACTTCGGCGTGACATTGAGAAGCTTAATTGCTCTTTACTAAAGAGTTTACTCACATAGGTGTTTTGTACACCTTTAAGCAGAGACACACCATAAAAAGGTATTGATCCAAGAGGTCTCACTCACATTTACTATAGCTTAGTTTTTCTATTGCTCATTCTGTAGCCCTAATTGTATGTCACTGTTGTTTTTCATTCTAATATGACGTGCTTCTTTTGCTTTGTGATAAAGATATCGATCTATCTACACTTAGCGCAGACTCAGAGATGTACATAATAGTGGCTGTTACAATATTCATTCCACGTAAATCCACACGTATCGTAACCTATGTGCAAACGCTATGCCGATTTCGCTGTATTAAAAATTACAGTTGAAAAAAACTTCACAACCTTTCTTCTTCTTCTGATGCATAAGTAATAAGAATTAATGCATTAGAGCTAGAAAAAAAAAATGTACAAAATCAAAATAAAATAAAATTCCGCGAAATTTCATTAATGTTTTTGGCGCATTAAAGTCATTTCAAAACACGACGTCATACGAATGAAAATGCCAAAGCTGAAGGTTTTTCGGATGCGTTAACCCCCCAAATTCGGATAATATTGCATTTAAATGTAGTTTTGAGGTAGGTGTTGTTATGTTGTCTATTATATTGCATTATTCACACATTTACTGATTTCAACAAGTCAACATGGCGGCTCTTTAGTTACGAAATGTCAACTATGTTTACTGTAGCTTACAAGAAAAACATGTAAATTCAAAATGGCAAATGTTAGCGTTGAGAATTAAAAGAATTAAACACATTTTTTTTTCTAGCGGGTATTTAAGAAATAATCCATGCAAGCTATAGATTTATTAGAAGTTTTTAACTTTATCTAACAGTGGGTAAAATAGAACAGCTACACATGTAGCATACCCATCCTCGCTTCATTTTTTGAATCACCGTACTTGTCCATTTAGAATCAAAATAATTCATGGACACGTACTTGTTTATACTATCTTATTAAAACATTTTGATGTCAAAGACCAGATAGAAGCTCACAATACCGCTTGCTATTTTCCAAGGAGAGAACACTTTCTTTCTGCAGAACATCAAAGCTCACTTTTTAATAAGCCGCGGCTGAAATTAAAGTACTGTATCTTAAAGGGGTATGACACAATCTTTCATAGTTTATATGGTTTTGCTGGCAAGCTATGCAATATATGTTTTAAATTGATATTTTTTAAATTAGCAACATACGAAAGTTCAGGGCATAGTTCTCTTCACCTTTGAAAGTGAGGTCTGTTTTATTAGAATTCAATACAATTTTTGGTAAAGTTCAATTTATAATTTTGGCAAAAGTGAAAGGTAGGAAATGTACCCGTTTCGAA